AAATGCAGTTTGTAAATGCTTACGGGAGACTTCTTATATTTTTTTCACAGCTAAGTTCCCTGAATAATCCATCTTACAAAGTATGCTGTAGCCCAGGGCTGAGATTAATTTCCTCGTAATTACTGTTCTCAGCTGGTGCAAGATCCAAGACCAAACATTTCAACTAAGAGCAAAATGCTAATTTCTTCTATATTAATGACCATTTCCTTTCCCTTCCCTACGCTGGACCCAAGCGGCCTGCAGAATTAAGCTGATTTGACCATAATAGCAAGAATAGCATGGAGCAGGAAGAATGGATTTAGAGGAGGAGGGTAGTGGAAACTCATTTAAGGCTGGTAAAGGAGAGAGGCAAACTGAGGTTTGGAAACTGGAAACTTGGGTTGACTGGGAGCCAGGATGAATTACTTACACGATCTGGTTCATCTTCTGTACGTTGAGGGTAAAGTGCTCCTTACCTCACAGAAGTACTGTGAGAGCCTTCCTGAGAGAGGCAGTTGGGGCTGAAAGTCAGGTGTGCAGAGGAAAGAGAAAATTTGGACTAGCTGGTGACAGACCTGGGCCTGGGTGTTGTGACTTCGCAGGATCTTGTTATGTGTCTTCACTTCCCTATTAACTGTGATATTTCTGGTTATATTGCTCTTTCTCATTTACCATGGTTTCCATTCCATTCCATTCCATTCTATTTCCTCGACATTCTCTGTGTTTCTTTCTTGTTTCTTCCATTATGGTTATTTATATTGTGCTGCCTCTGTTACTGAAAACTGAGGTGAGATTTTCAGGGGTTTGCTTGCTGTGCCACTAAAGGGCAAAACTGTAAAGACTAGACTCTTTTAAGTTTCTTAATTTGTTTTCTGTACAAAGAACCAAGGAGCAGATCAGGAGAGAATTAAAACAATAAGGAAAATAAATCTATTTCACCACTGGTGGATATTTCCCCTTTTTCTACTCTAGATTTTTTAGACTTAAAAAGAACAAATAAATTGTGTTCGAAACTTTTTTTAAACTCCACCGTGGTTCTAATGATGGCATGCACTGTACATGAATCAGAAAGATAAATCCTTTCTTTTTAAAGGTTCAGCAAACACTGATATATTTCAGATTTTCCTCTTTATCAAGACAGTTAACAAAAAGAATTTAAATTTTAATTTGAAGCTCTTTTGGCATTTGGTTTTGATTTTCAGGGTAAAAATGTGAAGTAATTATCTATTTTGGGGGGGTGCAAAAATGTCTCCAAGTTTGACGATACATGCAGAGTATTATGCATATTCATGTTTAATCAATTATGACTGGAAGCACTTAAAAAAATTGGTTACCCTTTTTAACATCTGTTCCTGTATTACTGGTTTATATTGCAAGGGGCATGGTCAAAACAACAATCTTTTACAATACATAAACAGTAGTAAATTTATTTTAAAGATAAACATACTGTGCATCTCAAATTTACATCCTCTTGTGCCTGTGATTATCTCTGCATAAGCAAGAGACCAAGCTGTAGTATTTTAAACACCCATTATTGTGATCCTTACATTATGAAGGTGGATAAGTGATTTTGTGCTGGAATTTTAATGCACATTTTATTGATAAGAATAATGGTAACAGACAAAAATGTTTGACTGCTGTTACTTTTTAAGTTTCTACATGGCTCATAATGTAACTTCTTAATCTTCAAGAAGTCTTATAATTAAAATGGGCCAAAAAACCTCACCCCACCCCGTCGTGTTTATACTTACTTTTTGTTCTTTGGGATTACTTTGCAGACAAACATATGACCTTAGGAGATAATTTAAAAGAACTTGGAAAAGCAATGGCTGGAATAGGAGAAACTGATTCAGAAAGAAGTGGTGACTTGAATTTCTTCAACATTGAGCAAGCCAAAGCAATCATTGATTACTTGAATATCAGGTATTTATTTCTACAGGATCCATTATTTCTTATTTGAATAATTTAATGTGATGGGAAATCGGCTGATAAAGTAAGTTAAAATTATTTAATTGGATATGTTCATACTGTGCCAACATAGTGCAGACACCAAACTTTAAAACATTAAAAAGAAGAGAGAATATGCACGTGGCAGTAAAGATCTGGCCTCAGATGTCAAAGCCCAGGAAATAGATTTAGACTGGAAGTTTATCAAAATGTAAGACTGTGCTGAAAAGCTTCCTTCTGGGTTTTGTTTTGGGTGATTAAAGGGAAAGGGGAGAGTAGCGTATAGAGAATATTCTTGGTTTGCTGTTAAAACATTCTATTTTTAGATTCCAGTTTAAGAAAATCATAGGTCTTCTCTACAACTTTAAGTATTTGTCTGGCCTTGACAGCTGTAGTGGACTTCTCAAGTGGTTTAAAGTTATGTACTTTACAGAGTTAAGGCTACGGTCATGTATGATTCACAAAAATGTTGCATTTCAAAGTTAGCAAAAGTTCAGTATCTACACAAAAAGGTTTAATGACTGGTTTCAGCTTTTAAACAGAGACACAGAAAGAGACGCAAACAGCAGTAATTCAGTTATTTATCTGAGAAAAAAAATTAAGGGTCTGATAGCAGCCCATCACACCTCTCCATGTAAAGTCTTAACTGTACAGTAACGTACACAGATATTTCTCCACTGAAATGCCATAGTTAGGACAGTGGCTCTACTCATATACCCCTGTTTCCAGTACATGATGGACAGAATGGTTCTCAAGCTGTTGTATCACCCATGAATGTCAGGGGCAAGGGGATGAAAAATGGAAAAGGTACTATTGTAATATATGCTCATACACTGTACTACATCTGTACTTATCAGCCAATTTTCTGGCCTGAATGGTGGTTAGAAGGAGAGATTTTGTGGCAGATGGGCATAAAAAGCAAGTAAGGTCATGACTGATCCATACATAGAATTGCTGGGAATTTTCTGACACTTCTTTTGCTAGGTAAAGTTTAATACATCAAAGAGGTTTTTTTTAGAGTGTTTTCTTGGATGCAGAAAAGTATATCCTCCTGAAGACAGACAAAAATACTAGGATGGATGATAACCTTCCAGTTTAGGGTACTCAGATTCAGACTGGAGGTTTAAACCCATCACAGGTGATTTCTCTTACAATTGGGCTAGAAAGTTTACCTCTTTCTCCTGCTCTCTCATATTTTTTTTGTTTCTTTTTCATGGAAAATAGAAAAAACTTCGTGTTCTTCCCATACGAAATGAGAACATCTCTTTAAATCTCAAATTTCTGTAGTCAAGGCAAACCAATGTCCTGCCAAGTACTAGCCCTAAACTAAAAGGAAACTTGGCATTTAAGATGCCTGACTGAACTTCTTTTACTTCTCCCTTCCTGTCTGTGCTTTTTGTATATTTATTTGGAACAAATGTTCCTTCCAAATAGCATATCTGTTGCTCTTGTATAAATTATCCATTGAAAGATATCTTGTCCATGAAGTAATTCCTTCACAGTCACAAGAATTTCATCCAAGAGATTAGGTGCTCCATCCTACTAGCACCGAAGTATTAACTGGGCGGGAGTACAATCAAGCCACAAGACTTTTGCTGCAGAATGGTATTTTGGCTACCAAATATATGGTTGTATGTTCAAACTGCTCAATTTATTACAAGTATGTGCTGTTGTAAGGCCATGGATATATACACATACACTGAAATGTGTCATATATCCCCAGTTTATACAATCCATTATTTCAGTCATTTGGATTTTTCATTTCTAAATAAGAACTGAATCAGCACACTTATGTGGGTGTATTTTGAACTTTATGAACTCAGAAATAGATTGACTAAGTTTTATTACAATTCAAATTAATGTATTACTTCAACATTTTTTCTTGTGCTTCACTTTTTTTGTTTAATTTTAAATGATAGGCCTATAGCTTTTCTTTCTACGCAGCACAGTATGACATATTTTAGTTCAGATCACATTTTTACAGATGAGCTATAAACCCAAGGGATTTATAAAGGAAATGGGGACACATGCTTAACCACATTGGCACAAACTGTGCAGCAACTATAATGACACCTTCAGGTTTGGTGGAAGGTGACAGTCATCATCTTTTTATCTTGTCTCCTTGGGCAAACACACATCAACATAGCTCTTGACATTTTCTTTCAGGGAGCGGTGGAGCTAGGAAAATATGTCATTGTTAATCAGCTTCAGATTCTCATATGACATCATAAGGGGGTCTATTCTTAACAATCTTACTTGCATGAGTAAAATTATTTTTGTGTAATTGCTAAAACGTTGGTATGGAATTTTTTAATTGTTCACAACAGATACAAACAAAAAAGCATTTTATATAATGCCTGATAAAAGAAAGAAAACTACTCTGTTGTTTCAAAATAAATACCGATGTATAATTTACGTGATTTGATTTAAAGAGCATTAAATGGAGGAATTCTTTCCTTGATGTAGGATTAAGGGTGCCAGGTTGAACAGAGTTCTGTTTAAAAATAACTAAATAAATAAAATTCAGAAATGCCAAAAATAATGACTTCTGTTTTGGGGAATATTATAAATTATCTGTACCTGTAACATAGTCCATAAAGAATATTATAACACATTTAGAGGGGAAGAGCTCATTTTCAAGTGCTGTAAATCTGGCTCCTTTCCAAGGCACTGGAAGAAATAAAACAAAAAAAGTTTGAAATGTTAAGTTCTGCCAGTGAAGTTTGAAAGATATATTTCTTGTGTGTCTCTGACCTTCATAAAATAAATTTTGACTTTTTCAAATAATCCCTGTTAGAATTTTACCAAATAATAGGTGTGGATGTGAGGGGACACATATATTTTCCTAAATTGGTGTGAGTCATTTCCAGGTTAAGTCCTGAAGTCTGCTTAAACATAATTCCTATATCTGCACTGAAACATGGCAGGAATTCTTTGGTGAAGTACTGCAATAAAAATGTTCTGCAAATGAAATGGCAAATATTGTAACAACTTAATTGCCTATGTGCAATGTGGGGGAAGGGAACTTGTACTTTATGGTAACCAAATTTCTTATGCAAGTTGGTAAACAAATTTGTTTTTTAACTAATGGTAATTGAATGACTGAATTAAATGTAACTGTAGAATAAAACTTTTATATGGCACTTAAAGAGCCAAATGTTCTATGAGGCTGCCATAATACTTCTCACCAAATTAGGAAATGCATCTGTACATATGTGCAAAAACGTCTGCGCCCATTCGGGTAAAAACGTACTTGAAAGTTTCACAGATGCATTTGACTAACTGCTGGAAGATGTACTGTTGTCGTGTAAGAGAGGCAGGCCGTGCCACCATTTTAGTCTCCGACTTCTGAGCTGCTTTCATGGGCTGGAAGAACCACTGCTGTACATTAGTTGGCACTTTAGCACTGCTTAAATTAGAGCAAATTGTCCCTGGTCTGCAGTATTTCATGGAACCTCTGGTACCATGGCAGTGGTCTGTGGCAGCATGTAAGTACTGGTGGTGATTCAGGGAAGGACAGTCAGCTAAAATCGTGTGTGCTGAGCATCGACTCCCACGGCTGGCTTCCCTGTTACCTCCCGGAGCCAGGATTGTATTTCAGACACCAATGTCCCCCTGCAGCAGCCTCTCGCTTTGCACGCTGCTGGCTGGTCAAGCCCTTCTGCTGGCCATGCTGGGTGCGAGGCTGCCGGGTGGGAGAAAAGCCTTGGCACCACGGGGCAGTCAGCCGGGGTGGCACCTGTGGGGGCTGGCTCTCTGAGAGCCTCGGGCAGTGCCACGTCTCAAAGAGCAGCCTGTGCTGGTTTGTGTGGCCAGGCACTGGTATTGTAAACACGTTTTCATAGCATTTGCATGATATCCTGCAGCTAGTAGCAGTGTCTTTAGCGTTGGCTAGATAATTGCTTTATGTTGGGTGTAGTAGGTACTTCCGTAGACCCATAGAAAAATCGAGGTCAGAAAGGACTTCTGAAGGTCATCTAGTCCAAAGCCTTCCTCACAGCAGGCCTCGGGATTCCAGATGTGGGCTTGCAAGTGCCAAGCAAAGAGGCATTGCCATCCCAGTTGATGGCTCTCTTAAGAAAAGAACCTGTGTCCTGTCCTTAGCCTGAAAGCACAGGAACCAGTTACAGATGTTCCCTGCAAGTATTGCTGTATCTTTAATAGGTACATCAGGCAGGAGTGTGATAAACTCTTGGAATCATTCTTCAACCTGGACTTGCTATGAAATCAGAGAGCTGTGTTTTAAATCATGTCAAAATGACATGACAGAAGCCAGAAGTTCTGTATCATGATTTTAAAAGAACAAGTAATTGTAACAGATGGACTGTGACAAACCAAACCTTTGACTAAACAAATGCCATATCATTGATCATTGGGAAAGGGAACAAGGAAAGTTATTTAAAACATGTGAAAAGGAAAGCCATATATGTTTTACAGAAGATAAATATTTTAGGCCATTGAGAAAGTCTACTTAAAGTTATTTTTGTTGTAATACACATAACTCCAGTGTGTCAATCTAGTTTTTTCATTTTTCTTTGAGGAAATACTATGCTGATTTTGAAACATGACTTTGAGAGAATAAATGCTTCCATTCTTTATTATTTTGGAGTTCCAAGATCAAACTTGCTCCCGGGACTGGCAGCCCATTCCAGAACCTGAAAGTTGATTTGGCTTTGTTTCCTTCTTGTCCACTGTTGCTGATAATAAAGGCATAAGTATCCTGGTGATAAGTGTTTCAGGAGTTACTTTTTTCAGAGTAGAACTTTGTCTTCTCAGAGTTCACTTTCATCAGGACAAAGTGGATGTATTTTTAAGTATCGTATTGTATTTTCTACAGCCATCTGATAGTAAATCCTGTAAATAAAATATTCTGCATATTGTACCTGAATCATAGAATCATAGAATCGTTAAGGTTGGAAAAGACCCTTAAGATCATCGAGTCCAACCGTTAACCTAGCACTGCCAAGTCCACCACTAAACCACGTCCTCAAGCACCACGTCTACCTGTCTTTTAAATACCTCCAGGGATGGAGACTCAACTACTTCCCTGGGCAGCCTGTTTGTTCCAATGCCTGACTACCCTTTCAGTGAATAAATTTTTCCTAATATCCAACCTAAACTTCCCCTGGCGCAGCTTGAGGCCGTTTCCTCTCATCCTATCACTCGTTACTAGGGAGAAGAGACCAACCGCCACCTTGCTACAACCTCCTTTCAGGTAGTTGTAGAGAGCAATAAGGTCTCCCCTCAGCCTCCTCTTCTCCAGACTAAACAACCCCAGCTCCCTCAGCCTCTCCTCATAAGACTTGTGCTCTAGACCCTTCACCAGCTTCGTTGCCCTTC